ATCCTCATGATATTCTGAACTTACTGTTTGCTCCGTCTTTAGCAGCATAAGAGGCTAATTCAATGCATTCCAGTACTAAATCTTTCAAGCAATTCTTAAAGGAATTTAAAAGCCCTAGTAATGATTGAACACAGCTGTCAGGTTAACGGCATATGGCTAATTAGCAGCCTAGCTTGTTTTTATGACTAACATGACCAGACTAACAGTGATGTCAGAGAGAATATAAATTGCATTGTCTGTATCATCAAAAATGAAAATAAATAAATAAATAAATAAATAAATAAACACTAGCTACAGATAGCATCAGTAAGCTGACAGTTATTTTTGCAACCCCTAAATGAACAAACAAATCCAAATTTTCATGACCTCCTTTCAAGTTAAAAATAAACTTTATTACTAATATGTGTTCGGTGTAGAGACTTATTTCTACATGCAAAGTATCACAAAGGCCATCAGTCCTCCAAAAATAATAAATGCTGATAGCTGATCAGTGTTCAGTAACATTACAGCGTTTGTGATGAGTTCAGACATGTTTGTCTGCACTTAATATATAGATAGACTTACAGAAACACGAAGCAAAGGATACATTCCCTGTGTGTATATTAAAGTCAAAAATAGTTAAAAAAGGTGACTACTGTAGAGATGTAATGGACAGAAATGGGAAAGTAAGTATACAGTCAATAATGATAGCAGCGCATACACATAAACAAGCCTTAAATATATGAAGCTACTTAGACAGACGTGCACCTAATTGACTGGGCTTCTGGTTAATAGTGAAGTTGTAGCCTGCTATGATATGCACTGCATTGTATTCGCCCTGCATTATATTGCATATGTATCCCCCTTCTTTGAACTTTTGTGACCGTCTAAGGAGAGTATTAGTCAGTGAAGCAACCAAGAGGCCAAGGATAACTGAAGGTGGGAGAAGTAGCAAGAACAAAGCCATTTTGAAAAATAGCCTGTCTGGAGACTAAGCAAAAATGTCTAATAACTTTCTCTGGTCTGATGAGACCAAAATGGACACTGCTGGCCTTGTCACTAAATGCCACATTTGATGGAAACCAAACACTGCTCATCACCCTGAGACTATCATCCCCACAGTGAAGCATGGTGGTGGCAGCATCATGTTATGGGGATGCTTTTCATCAGCAAGGACTGGGAAACCAGTGAGGGATACAGGCAAGTAACAGGATAATCAAATACAGGGCCATCCTAGAAGAAAATCTGTCCCAGTCTGAAAGAGATTGGAGACAGGGCTGGAGGTTTACCTTCAAACAGGATGACCACTGTTAGCATACTGGCAAAGCTACACTGGAGTAGCTCAAGACCAAGAACCTGATTGTGTTCAAATGGTTCAGATGTTGGTATGCAACCAACACCTTTTAATTTTTCTGTTTAATTAACCTTTGTGTTATAATATTTTTTTTTGCACTTTCAAATGCTAAAAATCCCAATTACGCCCATTTAAAATCATCCCCAAAAGGGATGCATACTTATGCAAGAGTGAATACTTGTGTAAGTACACCTGTCCAAGAGAGACTATAGAAAACACACAAAAAATATCTTATGAAACTAAATATTTTTTTCTTCTAAGTGCTTTGGACATTTGCTACATTTAAGACAACTGTTTTATCCTGGTCAGGGTCATGGTGGATCTGGAGCCAGTTGCAGGAACAGTGGAAATACACCCTGAATGGGACTCCAGTACATCACAGGGTAACAATACACATACATTCACATACTCATTCATACGTAAGGGTCATTTAGCATAGCCGGTCCACCTACAGAATGTTTTTTGGGAGGTGGAAGAAATCTGTAGAACCAAGAGGAACCCACACAGACATGGGGAGAACATGCACAGAAACTCAGGAGAACTACACACAGCTCAGGATTGAACCAAGGACCCTGGAGCTGTAAGGTAGCAACACTGCCCATTGTGCCACTGTGCTGCCTCACTAGTAAATATTGTTTGTATTGTATTGTCCAATTAGTGCTGCACAGCTGGTAATTCATCATGGTAATTCATTCTGACCTGCTTCTATGGACATAACATTATGCTGTGTCTTTTTATCAATAGTAGAAAAGATTTAAAATTCAATATTGATTGTGTCATTACAATTTATTTTCAGAACATTTTGGGAATAATAATTCAGCATCCTGACAACGTAACAACGATCACCTTCACTGAAGGCAAACTCATATCATTTTCAGTCTGAAGAATTTTAAAATTCCATGCAACACTGCATTTTCTGCACAATCAGAAAATAATTTTACACCAGGGTATAAACAACACAGAACTCAAAAATAAGTTTTATCTATGTTTCACTCCATAGGAGTTAGACCTACACTGTCAGGGAATGTCACAGACATTTCACACTCAAATGTTAAGGTTATAGATGAAGATTACTTTGCTCAAATTAATGTTAATATCCCCTTTCAAACAGACATATTCTTACACAATAAGAGATAAAGTCTGAAAATGAGCAAAAGCTTTCACTAATGTACTAATGTACTGCAAATGCAGAACGTTTATACTCAGTACGAGCTTTCCCTTATACATTCAAAGTATAAAACATATTTGAAGGATGCAGCAGTTCTTCTTGTTTAGTAAGAATGTCGCACAGTAATGGAAAAATCTACTTGTGCTTTTCCAATATGAAAGCACCTTGTCATATTTTGTCCATGAAAAGTTGGACAAGAATATTCTAACACATTTAGGAAACTGTAGTTAATGCCAATATGGCATTTGTACGCTGGTTTCCTAATGGTAAAGTGTCCATGTGGCTCTACCAGGGTCTCCAGAGGCCACTGCAGCCTGGAGTCTCCTCTTTGCTGCTGATCTGGCAGGCTGGAGAGCTGAGCTGAGGAACGACACTTCTGCTCTTCTCCATGGAAGGCTGCATGGTGAGGAAGTGGCTCAGCAGTCTTCTCTGGAACTGAGTGTGTACTTGACACTGAGACAGGAAGTTGATGGCCTCCTGCACACACCTGCTGTAGCCTTCATCAGCTGCAGTGGAGCAGCTCCACTTCTTGTGCGACTGCTGCTGCTGCTGTCTCAGGAAATAAACTGTCATCTCCAGGATGTCGGCTTTCTCCTGTCTGGAATCAGGCTGTTGCTTTAGGAATTCTCCACCCAGCAGAGACTTGAGCTTCTCCATGCTGCTGTTGATGCGTTCTCTACGCATCTTCTCCACTATTGGCTTTCTCAGCTACAGACAGAAGTATTTGTTTAATCACACCAATCATATATATAAATGTTCAAATTCTTAATAAAATGAGAAATGAAGTTGTACACAATATCATGGTTTAGTATATTTACCTTATTAGTAAGTGGAAGAAGGTGGTTGGAGTTGATCATTGATGCAGTGATTGTAGGAGCCATGGCTGTGGTTCTTCTGTTAGCTCTCTGTGAGGAGAAGATCTGAGCTGTGCTGAGCTCTCTCTCACTCCCTCCTCTATTTATACTCTCTA